CAAAATGGGCTTTTAGGTAGCTTATGATGCTGAGAACAAAATGCTCAATGGATGTTACACAAGAGTTTGTTGATAGGTACCAACCTTGGGGATTCTCTGGGCAGGTTGGATGTTTTATTGACCAACACTTTGAAGGTAACATTTTCAGGTGACCACTAAATAAAGGTACTGCAGATGTGGGAAATCCTTACCAGGAGTAAACTGACCTTTTTTGGAAAACTCTGTATCACAGCCTTTCTTACTTTGATCTTCCCTGAATTGAAATATCAAAGACAGATTTTTATATTTGTATTTATGTATGCATAGGTCAATTTTATGCCTTTATCAAGGTTATGTTTTGCCAACCTTTCCTCTCAGGCAGTGGATACATTCCAAAACAAATGATTCTAAAGTAAAACCAATATCTTTCATACTTGCAATGTCTTAGGTAAGATAAAATCATTGCATATTTTGACTTATGAATGGGATAATGAAATTTATGTACATGTGGATGACTATAACAAGTGAAAAAGAATAAGCAAGGGTTGTTTCAATGATTTCATAATTTTCCTTTGTTATGATACTCTCATATCTGTATTTTTTCTTCTTTTTTTCATAGAAGATTTGTTATTTTTTTGTTTTTGTTTTTGCTTTTTGCAGTAAGAAGATTTCATTTGACTCTGTAGGTGACCCTTTCTGGGAGAAGCATGGAAACAGGATAATTAGCCTTCTATTATTGTCAGGAGAGGTCTAGGTTTTATGGGACTTGACCTTGAAGCCCTATACAGTTTAGTACTCTTTTTATATAAAAGGACACACCATTACAAATGCTGAATTAGGTGTGAAAGTCCACATTTATTTAAAATTAGAAAAAAAGTAACAAATTGAAAGTGTAGGAAAGCTGAGGAGAAACCCCTAAAACATCACAAGATCTAGAGAAATAATATTTTTGATAATTAACTGCCAAGACACTTGTGTAATAATTTTCTGGAGACTATCTTTTGATTCCAAATATTTGCAAGTTTGTTCCTTTTCTACTCTTCAGTCCTGGATACCATACCCACATTCATATCCCTGTATGACTTCTGTCTCTCATCTTAGCAAAATCATGCTGGATAACTCACTACAGTGGGCAGACAGAGCATTTGGAATCCATTTGTACATCAGGATAATACAATCCAATAATAACTGTGCAGAGGAGTGACTAAAAGGCACATAAATAACCCCTACTAAACTCAAACTAAATGCATCTTCCACTAAACTCAAAATAAATGTATCTCCATCTCAACACCCCAGGCTTTCTGGCAGGGTTTGAGGCAAATGAGAAGATTGTAATGTAACCTTTATTAGCTCTACAGTAATTCTAGCTTTAGTAAGTTACCCCATCATAATGTACCTCAAGTGGTTAAAACTGTCATTGCCTTTAGGGTGATTAAAAGCTGCAAACCACTAACGCTAATGATACAATCAAGGGACAAGAAGTTGGGGTAAAAATATTTTTTTAAATCCTGTGTAAATGAGAACATTGACATAGAGAAGTTGGCTTCAATATGCTGTTTTTAAAGAATTGCTTGTTGGTTTTCAACAAATCATAGGAGAAATCAAAAAAGAAATCAAAATATGCATAGAAACGAATGAAAATGAAAACACAACAACCCAAAACCTATGGGACACTGTAAAAGCAGTGCTAAGGGGAAGGTTCATAGCATTACAGGCTTACCTCAAGAAATAAGAAAAAAGTCAAATAAATAACCTAACTCTACACCTAAAGCAACTAGAGAAGGAAGAAATGAAGAACCCCAGGGTTAGTAGAAGGAAAGAAATCTTAAAAATTAGGGCAGAAATAAATGCAAAAGAAACTAAAGAGACCATAGCAAAAATCAACAAAGCTAAAAGCTGGTTTTTTGAAAAAATAAACAAAATTGACAAACCATTAGCAAGACTCATTAAGAAACAAAGGGAGAAGAACCAAATTAACAAAATTAGAAACGAAAATGGAGAGATCACAACAGACAACACTGAAATACAAAGGATCATAAGAGACTACTACCAGCAGCTCTATGCCAATAAAATGGACAACTTGGAAGAA